AACTGTTCTTGATTCTAAGTTAACAAAAAAGTCAACATCAAATAAATGATATCATGATCTAGAAAATTAGATTAGAAACGCAATACTACTTACGTTGTTTGCGGCACTGCTCCCTTTTTTATTGTCTTCAGTGGTCGCAAAAGAAACTTTGATAACACCATCCCATGGACCCCCCTCTTAAAACCCTTAGTCTTAATACTTAATATGATAGGCCTAGTGCCTACTAGATCTAGATCTAGATTCTAGGCCAAGTACTGATAGTAGGCTAGTGAATCACTAGGCCTAGTGATAGATAGAGCTGGCACTTTCGCCTTGGGGCCACATAGTTACAATTCATAGTGCAAGGTGAGGTCACCCTGCGATTATTATATAAACACAGGAAAAAATTCCCAGTGGTTTCCCCTGTTTCTTACTAACTTTTAACTAGGCTAGAGAGAGAGAAAGAGAGAGAGAAGGGGGATGGGGTGGGCTTCAAATATCAATGAATAGTTATTGAATAGGCCTAGGAAACTAATTTCGGAACAAGGTGTGAATATTGCAAAGCGTTTTGACCTAGGGCCTATATGGCCTTGTGTAATTCCAACTAGAAATAAGGATTCGTGCTAAGTGCGCTTATTCGAGGAAAGGCGAGAAATAATAATATTGTAGCGATCAGGCGAGCCACCGTGCTGTGCATGAATGTTATTAATGAGGTCATCATCATTGCCTCTCTGTGCGACGGATTTTTTCTGCGTAAATAATGCCGCAACTTTCCATGAAAGAACATGAAAGGGCAATTGGAATCACCACGGTCTCCTGACTTGACACCACCAACTGAGCATGTGTGGGACGAACTTGGCCGCCGTTTGTCCCATGGAAGTCCTCTACACAATCTCCATGAGATGAGGCGTTCTTTGACAAATAAGTTGGCACAGATTCCACAAGTGTTCTTTCGGACTCTTGTCAATTCCATGAGAAGACGCTACCTATCCTGTACACTGTATTCAGGCCAATGGAGGACATACACGATACTAAAGCAGGTGTTAAAAAGTCAATTTACCGCTCTGATTTTTGAAAAATGACTATTGCTACTTCATGTTTTTGTGCTCGCGGTGTCATTTGACCTTTTCATTTCATTTCAGCTGTGAATGTTCACAAAATGACCATAGAACGCAATGGTATACAATCTCTTTAAAAAAATAAACACATCACAATTATTTGAATTGTTTTGTAAGTGGTGCGTTTTTAATAACCATCAGTATAGATCTAGATATATAACGATGCTGTTGATGATTGTTATTATTAGGCCTATCATTATTATTATATATGTCTTGCATTCTTGGTTCGTTTCTTGTTGAAAAAAGAAAAAAAGAAAACCCGGACAAATAGCATAGATTATCGTAAGGTAATAGATCTAGATCTAGATCTAAAAATTTATAGGTCTAAGCGTTTGTCGACTTGTAACATGGAGGCATCCTGTCAGAACGACAGACACCCAAAAGATAGATAATAATAATAATAATAATAATAATAATAATGAATTGCATTTATATAGCGCATTTCCACAAAAAAGTGCAGTGGCGGTGGGTGGACCTAGATTTGGGTGGGGCTTCCACTTCTTTACCCCCAAAAAGCAAGCAATAAGAACAAAACAGTGATGATTTTTCTTTATATGTACATGTACTCACAGCGAGCCATGGAATTTTGAGAACCATCCAAACGAGAAAGAGTCACATTTGTCTTCCATCTCTTTGTTCTACGTTTAATTCTTCTGGATGGTTGGGACGAAACCGTTTCACCTCCAAATTTCTCTAATTACTTTTTATCTGATGAAAAAGTTGCCTCGAAAGTGGTATGATGTAATTAATAACTGTTAAATCTCAGCGGCACAAACACACAGCACTCCAAAAACATACCGTCTGTGAGGTGAATAGGGTCGTGTTGTTGCGGAAAATAGAACGCGACTAACAAAGGCCCAATGGGCACATAGGTAACTGTGTCACTGGGGGAAAGTGTGTCATAAACTTTCAGCCCATTGTCTGGGCAGGGAGAGCGTGAGCCCTCTGTGCAGTGTTATTTTTAAAAAGTCTTCTACCTTTTTACAAGAAAAGAGTTTCATTAAAAACGGGCGTGGTAACCGGCCTAGGCCTCGGAACCGGCTTGTTCTTTCTGAGCCCTAACGACATTTGATTGGCTGTTAGGTTACTATAGTTGTTGGCAAGCCGCCAAGCTCATCACTCTGTGTTCATTGCGTGCGATCCTAACGGGTTTCAACTGCTTATTTCGTTATTTAAGAAACTTTCATGAAATAAGGGATAGAGTTGGAGTGGGAAAAGGGGTGGGGTGGGGGGGCTCAAGCCCGTAAGCCCTTCACTACCCACCGCCACTGAAAAAGTGCTCACCGCGCAGTACAATAACACAAAGAACATGATATGCAGCACACTGCTCCTATAGTAATCCCCCCCCCCCTCTCTCTCTCTCTCTCTCTCTCTCTCTCTCTCTCTCTCTCTCTCTCTCTCTCTCTCTCTCTCTCTCTCTCTCTCTCTCTCTCTCCCTCTCTCTCTCCAGTACATCCTTGAATAAAGACAATATCCCACAAAACTTACCCAGTCATCCTCGTACACACTGATGACATTACACAGTCATAAATGGTTACAGAACAGAACAGCATTAATAGACGATGCTAAGAGAACATAAAAGATACAGAGAAAAATGATTATTATTATTATTATCATTTTATCATTATCATTATTATCATTATTATTATTATTATTATTATTATTATTATTATTATAATTATTATTATTATATGAGTATACAGTGGAGTCCACTTATAACGAGTCCGGAAAAAAACGAGAAGTCTGTTATAAGGGCACTATTCAAAAACCCCGTTTTATCACCTCTTTACCTTTGTAAATAAAATACTGCTATAGCGTTATCAGACAAACATGCGAGCCGGTTATAGCGGAATATTGCTGCTGCTGTGCTCAATGCATGGGCCAATTATACATGCAAAACCTCGCCAGTTGAGAAACTTGATGATCTTGCGAAACAAAGAATATGACAGCATATGTTCGTCAACAATGAAGGCCGGAGCCACTGAGTGAGGATGGTGTGGCATGCGCAGACAAGCAGAACGCATCGCATGATATGCCAGCGCGAAAGCCTAGTTTAGATTATCAAGGCCTACCATGCCTCTCACTTCTCCGATGCGGGGATGAAGAGTTAACAGCAATGGGATGGATGGAGCGAATGTATGACGTGCGCAAGCAGACAGAATGCACCACAGGGTGGAGCAGGGTGGGGAAAACACAGCAGGCGAGTTAGCCCAGAGCCTTTTCTTTCTGATCACCAACGTGAGCTGTCAGTCCACATCGCTAGATCTAGCGCTAGAGAAAGAAACCTGATTCGATTTTTGATCAAGTAAGACCTAGAGGTCATGTTGAATCAAAATCATCATCAGTGGAGATACTGAGATAGCAAAAGGAAATAAACAGAACACTTAAACTCATAGATTAGGCCTACTTTACAGTTTCTCTTGAATTTATTACTGGATTCCTTATAGCGAGAATCCTGCTATAACGGACATTTTGCTCCGGTCCCCTCCCTCTCGTTATGACAGGATTCCACTGTATATAATCATATATAGGCTATATTTATATTATATATATATATATATATATATCATTTTAGATACATAGATAATAGATAGAGGGGACGGGGAGAGAAAGAAAAAAGAGAGAGAGAGAGAGAGAAAGAGAAAGAGAGAGAAAGGGGGGGACAGACAGACAGACAGACAGACAAACAGACAGACAGACAAACAAACAGACAGACAGACAGAGGGGGGGACGAGAGAAGGAGAGAGAGGGGATCGAAGGGTGGATGAATGGAGAGAGAGAGAGAGAGAGAGAGAGAGAGAAAGAAGGGGAGAGATAAAGAGAGAGAGAAGTGAAGAGAGAGATAGAGATCAGCGAGAGATAGAGATCAGCGAGAGAGTGAGAGAGAAAGAGAGAGAGAGAAAGAGAGAGAGAGAGAGAGAGCACAACGTGCCGATACTATAATAATAATATAGAGATTTGGTGCTGGCTGAATAGCAGAACGGGTCACACAAGACTTTTAAGGCCTACAGAAGAATAAAGACTAAAATTATATTGGAAAAGAGAGAATTTTAAACATGTAATAACAAGATTCTGCCTATCTGCCAGGCTACGTTTTCTCTCTCTCTCTGTCTCCCTGTCTCTCTGTCTCTGTCTCTGTCTCTCTCTCTCTCACTCTCTCTCTGTCTCTCTCTCTCTCTCTCTCTCTCTCTCTCTCTCTCTCTCTCTCTCTCTCTCTCTCTCTCCCGCCTCTTTCTCTGTCTCTCTCCCTCTCTCTCCCTCCGTCTCCCTTATACTCTTTCAGTATTGTTTTGAAAGATACATTGTAAAAAGTAGCATTCATGGATAATGAAATAAACTAGATAATAACGCCAATCGCACTTGTTAAGTTTATTTCGTGGTTACGAGTACGAGATAGCCTGCTATAATATTATATCGGATCACCCTCTATGGGTAGACAATAAGAATGTGGTCGACTTAACATTGACAAGCTTGTTTAAAAGGGGGGAAAATACCAATACAATTTTAAAAACAAAATTAAACGAACTAATTCGGCCCAATGCCGCACAAAATCAGAAAAATAATCTATAAAACGAGGGGAAAAAAAAGTGCGCCGCCCGGGAATCGAACCCGGGTCGCAAGAATGGGAATCTTGCATGATACCACTACACCAGCGGCGCTGGTGACGTTACAGGACAACTTTAGACATATATATTATAGTACTGAACCTGCGCTGTGTAAAATATGTTTTTTCTTTGTTGTTAGATTTTTGTTTTTGTTTTTTGTCGCACACAGAGCACCAAATATTAGTTAACTACAACTTCGTGATGGATTGGGTTTCCTAAACTGATCACATGAAGCAAAGCAATCTTATCTTTATGATGAAACTGAACTGATACGATTTTCGGAAGTTGGCCCCCCGACGAAAACTAATGCGCAGTGGCAATGCGCAAAGGACTGTAAACACACCATAGGATGTACAAATCCAATCTGTCAAAAGGCAGAATTGCGGCGAGTGCTCGAAGAGGTGGGTAAAACCGTGTGTCTTTTTCTTGTTTTCTTGTTCATAGCATATAGTTTCTCTTTATATGTTGTGTTAAAGATGTGTTTTATATTGAAAATGCGTGTTTGTTTCTTAGGGCCTCCAGTACAGCTTGATTTCGAAAGTTACAACACACGAGAGAAGTCAAGCAAATCATTGAAGAACGGGGTTGATTCGGGGGATCAAGCTGCCGAAATGAGGTAGGGTATCTCAATACTGAACTGTCTCAGTGATTACGTTCATGTACGTATCCATTTATTGAAGTTCTTGAGGTTTTTTTACACCATGCGATGCTGTAACACGCGGTGTCCGCTTTGACCCCTGAAATCTAGGGCAAGAAGTCATAACACACATGGCCATGCTCCTCGAAGACGACGAAGAGGTGAAAGTAGAACTGGGATTTTGATTTCGTTCACGCCCCCC